AAGAGGTTCTTAAAGGAACCGAGCGAAGGAGGAAAACAAGGCGAGGGTGGGGGGGGGGGCGCACGGATATCAAACTCCACCTATCCCGATTATGTACACTGGTTCCGTACCCCCTATGCAGCGCTGAATCCGTCCGGGTCTACGAAAGCCGAGAGCTTCTAGTCTCGAGTCCAGCACTCAAACCAGGGCAGGCCATGCGAGGATAAATACTTTTCGGCGCTGTTCGCCTTGGAAAGGGAAATTTGCACTTTTGTAAGTTTCTTTTGTTAGTTAACTTACACGCTTTGTCCTGGTGAGACCTTTAGACTCCCTCAAATATAGACGAAGCTCCTGCTATTGCATAACTTCACAGGAATTCACAGGTCTCCACAGGAAGTATCGGTAGTGATCGATAGGGTTCTGAAAATGCCCCCACTAAGCCGAACTGCGCTCATTTTTTCAATAAGACCCTCTTTTCACTAGTATCTAAGTTTCAATCCCTCAGCGTAAGGCGTGCCCTGTTCCTTTAATTACCAACTCCAACTCTTGTGCCCTTGCACTCTTCACCCCCTACACTGCATTGTGGCATTGTGTAGACCTCATTCCGGGAAAGTGGCCATGAGATAGTGATGACGACACGTCGGCCGCAAACGAAAACATATCGGGGGACTGTGCTAACGTGAAACGCCGTAAAGAATCTCTCAGGTGTTGTGAATTGGCGATCGTTCTCTCTCGCTCGCTCTCTTCACTTCATCAATCACTACTTGCTAAGAGAGTAGCGAGCGAAAACGGCTTGTGACCCAGTTAGCGCTCAAGGAGACAGCCACGCCGACGTGGCTTACATTACTTCAAACTGCAAATTTACATAGTAGTAAAAGGCTAAGAAGCCTTCGGGAAAGTCATATGGGCCACGAAACCCTCCCACACCTTCTTAAAATGACTACCAGTTGACTACCAAAGTTTTTGCCTTGCACTCTCGCCAGATGCCCGTGAATACCAAGAGTACTTTACAAGGCGAACAACAACGTACACCTGCACTTAACCTTGTTCAACGTTGCCAACAAGAGCGTCGGATGGCCACACAGCACTCGTGCGCTTACCGGCGCCGGCGATTGCTCGGCCTTTTTCACCACGCCAAAAACCTACGCTACATAATGGAGGCCACGAGAGAAAGAGCGCACAACGGCTGGATGGATGGCATGCGAAAGCGCGCGACGTAAGCGGCGCAAGCACACCACAACCCTCACACACCAACCAGTTCTCTGGAGGGCAGCGGGACACCAGGGAAGATACCAATGCCTCTGGGACCGCACCGGAGCAATCAAAGACCACACAGATCGCATGCATACAACCCTGCCACAGTACCCCAAGGACAGCGGTAGGTACCAGAAAAGGGGTCTGATTGGCTACTTGGAAAATAGGGCGCAGTTCGGCTTGGTGGAGGCATTGAATGATACTCAGCTAAGCTTGCATGTGTCACTTTTTGAGAACCTGCCAATTCCTGTGACCAAAATGGCTCATTCGCGCTGTTTCACAGCTTCCCAAGAGATCACAGGTCTCACCAGAATGACTCCTGTTATTCAACATCAACTAACAAAGGGAACCCGAAAGTGCAAAATGCTCCCCCCAAGACGAACAGCGCCTGAAATGGCTTTCTAAATTTCTCTAGCACCCGCACTGAGACAGACAAGCGGCTCATTTGGTGAGAAACGGGCTGGCGTCATGCCAAACGCCGCCCTCTAACTTGACCCAGTGCCTGCAGCGAAAGTGACTACAAGTCGCAAAAAAGAAAACTAAGCAAATTCCTTTTGTTACAATGTCGCCCTCAATCTGCACAGAAAAGCAAGTGCATGGCGCAGCCCGTGAACAATGCTCGGCGCTACTTTTTATCGGCAGCCGGATCTCAATGCAGTCGGCTATGAGGCAGAGATACTTCCTGAAGGGAAATCAACAGAAAGTAGAAAAAAATACTTGCATCACTTCACAGGCGAACACGTCCATAGTGAAACGGCGTGCGCTTTGTCCGAACACAAAGACTTGCATAGCAGGGTTGATCACCGAGATTCCTGCACTTACCAGCTGAAAAAGAACAACTGTATTACCAAATCTGCTACAGATGCCTCTACTCTTTCAAACACTCCCACACCATAGTTATCATAGATTTTTTCCCGTCGCCAGCGATTTTTCTAATTGATATTTGGGTGAGAACTTAACATGCCTTAGTGGTCATTTTTATCGAAGGGGTATATTTCACAATATGCCAGGTAGAGGCAACGCGGTATGCACATCCAAAATACACTCCATGATCGCGGAGATGAAGGGGGAGTGGCGTGGCATACTTCATTACGATGAAGTATGTGTTTCAGAGGTTCACGTGGAACATCTCCATTGGAGAAGATTGACACCAAGTCATGTGTAGAACAAATTGCCATTGTCCCAAAACGAAAATGTCCCGCTAGAAGTGCAATGGCGTTCAAATAGAGCATGCAGCTTCACGCCTCTGGCTTTTCCGCGGATATGGAGTGTAAGATGTGATCGTGCACGACACGCAGAGCCACAGAGCGCCAACTATTTAATACGGAAGGTGCCGGAGTATTTTTCGGCTCCCTAGGCTGGGGAACATCCAGTTTGTACGTTAATACTTCGACTACTTTCCATCATTAGTCTCCTGTAGGACTCGCTAAACCAGTCACTTGAGAAAGGTTTGGTGAATAGAAAAATGAACAGCGGCAACCGCGGACAAAAAGAAAGACAACTATCGAACCCAACAGAGAGAAAAAAGAAATTAGAAGTTAAAACAAGAAAACCGGAAACTAAAAATTAAAGAAGCGCAAGGGAAAACGGGGAGAAAGCGAGTGCCGCGTTTCGGGAGTCCACCTTAGTTTTTTTTGGATAACAACGACCTGACCACGGAGTACGAGAGCTTTTTGTGACACTGAAGCTATTCATGTCTTATTTTCTCTGTAGAGGGTAGGGTTTTATGAAAGGGCAATACGTGAAAGAGTATCGAAATGTCAGAACTGGATAACATCTACCACGAAGACAAACAAGAAGAAACGACCTTTTCCTTTCCAGCTTAAACCTAGTCGCCGTAAATAGACACAGATAGCGATCAGCGGAGAGCAATGACGTTTCGCTTGACCACAGCACACCTCCTCCCAGGGTCATGATCCGCACGCGCTCGTGGCAGCGTTGAAAACATTTGCAGACTCCGAACACCAAATGCTGCTATTTTCAAGCAACAGGAACTTAGATCTCCACTTTTTTCCAGAGTTGTAGCCGAAAAAAAAAACCGCAAAACCCTGGAAGAGGGCGATGGCGTCCATAATTTTAACAGGATTTTCAATAGTACGCTGTAGCTGACGAATCGTAACAGATAGCGCATGCCGAAAACACTCTTCCAAGGAAATATACAAAAATCCTCCTGCATCCCAGCGATGCAAAATGCGACTCCGCTAACTCCCCACGCTGCCACATTCCCCGGGATTCCTACGTATGAAGTGCCCTACCAAAGCCAAAACCCGACAGCAATTCAATTTCGTTTTGAACGGACGAAATTCGGGAATTTCACTACAATCATACATGACGTATTGAGGACGGACAGTTCGCTGTGATTTTAGTGGCCGGGGTCGTTCGAAAACATCCCGTGATTCGCTTACTTTCGCACTCTCCGCACCGCTATGAAATGGGAAGCATTTTCCCACTCGATGAACGAACAAAGAAAGTACCAATGACCTAATAGTACACAAATGTAGCGTACTGCTCGTAATTACACTACCCCACGTGTAATACTGCCCCCATAACACTGTTATTCTTCTATTACGCCCGATCACGTTGAGTATGAAGCCATAGGCTTTTGAAGCTCCCTGGAACGCGCCATGCATTCGGATTTTGCCGATAATTATGAAAGAATGAACCGTAACAAGAACCATGCGACTCCAGCAAAAATTTTACCCTCTCGACAAGTCACACGGCAAAGACGGAACCCGGAACTGCGGTCTTGCGTAACTAGGTCAACGATAAATGACAGATCTGGCTGAACCCGGAATGCGCCATGCACCTGAGTTTTCATTCACAGGGTAAAGGATATGGCTGTGAATATGGGCGAACACATGGCTAAGTCAGCATCTATAACCACCCCCCCCCCACCAATTATGCAGCAGTAGCTTCCTAACCCCTTCACTCATCGATCAGGTAACAACAGCTGAGCCAAGATGGGTGGTAATCCCTCTTGATCAGGTTTACTATTTTTGATTCACAAATCGACAAACTGTTGACCCAGGACATGCGGCTACCCCCATAGCCAGATCTTCAAGTCAGCGCCTTTATCCTCGCAAACAAATCAGGTAGCAATAAGTGCGCCCGAATGAGCGGTGGTCTCTGAGCGGTAATAAAAATGGCAGAACAGACTACTGGACTGAGCTGTCTCTTACCCACTTGGCCACCATAACAGCATGCTGTGCACTGAAAATTCCTCAAGAAATTTGTGGATATGAGGGGTGGGGGAGAGTAAACGGCTAGAAGATCCCAACTCCATGACGTGCTCTGACAGCCACTGAGCTCCCACTAAGCTATATCCACCCTAACCAGTAATCTAATATCGCCTAAATACAACCTGAAGGGACCACTCTCGGAAAGTACTGTCAGCTTTCAAAGAGTGAAAATAAATACCTTTCTGTTCGTTCATTTTTGTTTGAAGTCTGTAGCTCAGAACCCCGCTCAGATCAAACCACCGGTCGTGTTGGGAAAGGGCAAGTATTTCCAAAAACCAAAAAAGCATTCCCATCAGTTAATTCCGGGTAATTTTAGAACACTCATGGAGAGAACGGGTATGTCAACCTAATTTACCTTGACTGATTCAAATTATACATTCACCTTAAAAAGAGACCAGTCATTCCCAGTCCTTAGCCAAAATTTAATTGGAAGGAGAAGTCACACAAATGCCCAGGGAAGGGTCAAACGACATCCATTATTACCTTCGAAGTTCAACTAGGGTAACGGTAACCCCAGCAGGGCACGTATTTTCATGGAGGGAGATGGGAGGGGAATCTTGTTGCAAAATGACGCTCTCGCCCAAATATGACCCTCTCCCCTCAGAGGTTTCCCCACTGGTGCGACTCCCTTTCCCATCCCCAACCATCTTGCTAATTTTATCCGGCTGCCTATCACTTTTATTCCAGTCCTTCCTGAAACTCGACCCCTTCTCCCCAGCTTTTTTTTCAAACATTCCTCCACTTTTTCCCAAGCAAATGAGCAGGGGGAGGGGCATTTTCCTCAAGAGTAAGCGCGAGCCTCCTCCCTCCAGCGACTAAATACGACTCTTCATGCTGGGAATTCCCAGCACATGACGTGCCCTGAACCCTAGAGAAGAGTTCAGGTTGATGGACGCACTCTACTGTGGGCCAAATTTCTTTCTTCTCTGATAGGCAGCTTCTCAACATTTTAACCTTTTGGAACCTATGTCAACTCTCAGTGATTCATATGTTAAGCCATGGAACCCCTCTTATTCCCCAACGGGGGGCAGCACTACGGAAGAATAACGGTTTCACTGGCCACCCATCACCCCTTCACTCCCTATCTCCCGTTGTGAATCGTATGACCTCGAAACCTTGAATGAAAACACGCTAACACTGACTGAGAGCGCCACCACCGAATCGCGACACTTCTTTATTGTATCGCGCGATGAGAACGATAACGAAGTAGCAAGCAGCTCTCCGCTCCTGCACAGTAGTTAGGTCAAGGTCCGAATCACTGAAATAGCTATTTGACCGCTGAAATCTCAGGTTACCCCCCCCCCCCTCTTCTCTATCCTATGTCGACACAATAGAGACGACAATCCATCCCACTTGTACTTTCTCGCTGAAAAGGACCGGATTCTCACTCAAACTCCGATGGTAGCGTCTCAACGCGAGCATTGACCTAATTCGTAACCGGCTCCGCGCGCGCTACCACTCTACGTTGGCGTTCGTCGATCGGTTGACAGTAGGGACAGTGCCAAGAGAGCCTCAACCATTGACTCAGAGCTGAAATTAGCTTGTCGAGCGAAACACTCCAGGGCCTGCGACACAGTACGAACTGGTAGGGGCATTTCGCTGGTCTCCCATCGATTAGTATGGATGCCCCCTGAGGAGACCTGTAAATTCTTGTTAAGCTGTGCAACAGCAGTAGTCTCGTCTA